AGTAAATAAAACGTTAATTGTAGCTTAATTAAGCTATAATTAATCACTTTTATCTATCATATGTAACAATATGAATAACTAGCTTACTTATGAAAATGTCGGAACAAGATAACGAAGATTCATGAAAATAATTTGAATTAGTAAATTGAAGTTCAATTTTGCTTAATTATGTTTTATTAATAATTTATAACCAAATGTAGTCTTTAGATACATAATTGAACAATATATGAAATATTGATATATATATACAGGATTAAATTGAGGAATAAAAATAGGATGGGTCAATAGTAAAATTAAAATAATAATAATATTATTATTATTATAAAAAAGAGAGGAAAAAAAACAAAAGAGAAAAAAATAGCGCAAAAGTGCATGGAGTTCGTCCCACATCGAAAAGGTTATATATTGTGAAGACTGTCGATATTTTTTCGACATTTCGACGATATTTGAAAATATCGTCGATAAGGGGGGAAAACAATTTTCTCCCCATGTGTTGATGTCGACCCTCTCGACACGTCAACATGTTGAGCGACATGTCGACGTGTCGGTCGACATTTAGTTTCTTGGTTTTAAAAGGAGATTTTGCAAAGTTCTAAGGTAAATAATTTGTTTATTTTCAGAAAAACGTCTACTTCATTGATTTCTTTGATTGCCGTTGAAAGTTGACTAGGGATAACTATCCCACCTGGAAAATGAATTTAAATGTCATTCTTGTCGTGGATGACCTGCATTTTGTCTTAACCGAGGCAAAACCTGAGGCCCCTGGACCTGACAGCTCACGAGTTGTTTGTGCCACGTATGACAAATGGATAAAGGCCGAAATAATCATGGATTCATTGCGTGAGATATTTGGGCAATAATCCACACAGCTCAGACATGAAGCTCTCAAGTTCATCTTCAATGCATGGATGAATAGTGGATTTACTATTCGAATTTGGAGTTTTTAAATCTTTCACTTGAACAATGAGTGAAGTTTCTTACTCAACTCCACTCTTGCAAGTATGTCGCTTGAACTGTCCCTTACTAAATGTTTCATGTGTCTAATAAGTACTCATCCTTAGTATCTATTTTCTTTACGCCATATGTTTTTCAATTGCCTATAAAAAGAGGCAATGTGTAGTTCATATTTTGTGGGAATTCAATTTGAAAATCTTATGCATTATCTTTTATAATTTTGTAATTTTATATTATGTCCAATCCCATAAGGCCTCTGTTTGCCGGGCCACCACATTGTTAGGTAAATAATATTATGTGGCAAAACGTAATATAATAATTATAACAAAATGATTATTTTTTGAAAGTTTATTTTTGTTTATTTTTTAATAATTTTTTTAAGTTTCTAGTTTCAATGTTAAAATATATAGTTTGAAAGTTTATGTCATGATGAAATGTTATGGGTTTAACTCAACCATTAAAAATCTAATATTTGTTAACGTTCACGTTTATTGATTATTGTTTCACGTTTCTAATTTTTAGAAACATAAACATTTGATAATTGATGTTTCTCATTTCTTATTCTTTAGAAATATTTTTCAAAATGGTATACGAATTTTGGAAAAACAAAATCAAATTTCTTATTTTTTGTTTCCATTTTAAAGATTTTTCAAATGCATAATAAATAATAAATAGTAAATAATAAATATAATATAAAATATTTGAAAAAGTAATTTTTATATAAAAAATATTATTTTAATGGAAAATTATCTATAATATATCTAAATGGGCTATGAAAGAGAATCTTTACCTCCCCATTTTACCATCCAACTTTTTAACATATACCCAATTTACCTTTCAAACTTCTACGAGAGACGATTGTTCAAACGAGGTGTCTATTGAGAGAAATTAATCTAAATGAGTTGTGATTGTTCGACAAACAATTCATCCATTCACGTATAGGTGTGATTGTAAATTATTATAAATGAGTTGTCGATTGAGAGGAGCAGTGTGTCCATTCACATATGGTTGTGATCTCGATCTAAAGGTGTAAAGACAAAACAATTAGTCTATTCCCTTACAAACTATTTAGAAAAGTAAGTATTGATACATCAAAATTTGTATTCTTTTCTTTCTCCCAAAATATCAACAAAGGTTTTTATTTTAAACATCCCAAAAAATAATGAAAATTAAAAGTTTTCTTTCTTTGTAGGGAACATTAAACATGTTAAAATGAAGATTTGCGAATGCAGAAATTAATTTTAGACGATGAAGAGATAAAGTTAAAAATTATATTTAATGTTCCTATTTATCCCAATTTGATTGTTGTTTTCATCATCTTAATTATTTTGGATTTCTTATTTTATATTTATATTTTTATTAATTAATTTGAATTTCTAAATTGATGTGATAGTTTTGACCAATAATTTTTGTATTATGATATAGTGTGAGGGTTATTTTTCTAAATTGATGTGAATTTTGTATATAATATTATGAGTGTACTGTTTTCTAAATTGAGTGATTATTGGCTGATCTTTTCTTGATTTTAACTATTTTTGAATTACTATGAAATTATATTTAATGTTTTATATTTCTTTTATTAAAAACAGATTTTGTTGATTTAAATCTAGATATACTTCAATGAATTCTAGAAAATTTTAACCGATGGTTTTCAATTCCCATAAGGACTTCAACTAAAATAGAAAAAATTAAACAATAAAATTTTCTATGAATTGAGAGTAACACAATCCCACTTAAAAATAGGGAGGGAGACGATTATTAAAATTACAAAAAAAAAAAATCATATTTATCTCTCTTGCCCATTGTTGTTTTAATAATCTTAACTACTTTTGGATTTATTATTTCATATTTATATATATATTTTTATTTTGCAGTGTGATATATTTTGAGTATTTTGTTTATTAAATTGAGGTAGTAGTGATTGTTGTTTTCTAATTAAATCACTACATGATCAAAGTTGTCCCTCCTCAGGTAAAAAAAATGTTGTTTATGGAGAGATTCTTCTTTAATCAATATTCAATTTATTATATACTTCTTTAATTTTTGTTTAAATTAACCTATAGAATTATTATTAAATATATTTTTGTCATTTTCTTCATAAATCAAACTATTCCCAAAAGACCACACAATTAGGGAACAATTTTAGTTTACAACTTTCATTTGAATTACATTATATGTAATTAAATTTTAATTATCTATATTGATCTCTATCATTTTTTTTGTTTTTGTTTTTTTTAATTCATGTCAAAATATTTCATATTTAAACTAAATAAAAAGTTTATTTATTCAGATTTTAAATTTCACCAAAAAAAAATATATGTTCAAAAAATTTAAAACCATGTGAAAATGTACGTGATTCTAACTAGTAGAGAATAAAAGATAGAAAATAGCTATAAAATAGGTTTCTATTTCTCTCTCTCCCTTTTTTATTTTATAGAGAAGAGAGAATAAAAAATATGAAAAGTTTATCAGATATAGTTACATTTTACTTATTAAAAAAGAGAGAATAAGAAATGAGAATGAATAAAGAAATATTAAGATTACTAACCGGTATTTGATAATAATTTCTTTGGTTTTTGACTTTTATGTTTTTCGTTTTAGAAAATAAAAATCATATATATTTGATAACTGATTTTTCTTTATAAATATGTTTGATAAACATTTTTTATTTTTTGTTTTAAAAAAGTTAGAGTCTAGAGAGAATTTTTTATGTCAAGTAGAGATGAAAATGAGATGGGGTGTGAGTTGGGATGTTGTCCCTACCTCAATCTCGTGGAAATTTTTGGTTTCCGTCTCTATCCCATTCTACGATTTTGGGAATCAAGGTCCAAGTCGAGGAATCCTTGTTTCGGGACAAATTAAAGATCTTCGCGGGATATATAATATCTATTTAGTGAAAAATAATTATTTACTGATATAAATAATTAGTTATAAAAAATATTTAATATTTTATTCATAATTTAGTAAAATAGTTAATAAAAGATATATATATTATTTAAAAAATGAAATCAGATAAGACGTGGAGCCATGGTGGGAAATATACATTCCCTATTCTTCGAGCAACTGCCCAATTCTAAAAAATTTAAGAGAGTAAATTTAGAGATATAAATAAAAAGATAAAGAAAAATAAAAGAAGAGAAAAAATTTAGTGAGAGAAAAGTCAGAGAAAAATAAAGAATGTTTTTTGAGAAATAGGGTTAAGTTGAAAGCAAAAGACGCATCAGAGAAAGAAAGAAAATTAGAAAAAGAAACAAAAATTATAGTGAAAAAAATTAAAAAAATCGAGATATATTTATTAGAGAAAAATAAATAAGTAAAAAGATAAAGAAAAATTATAGAGAGAGTAGAAAGAGATAAAATTTAGACATAGAAAAGTTTGAGATATATTTGATACGTAAAAAAGATTAAAAATAGAAAGAAAATATAGATGATGAAATTTATGAGACAGAAAAATGAGAATTATATGTTAGAAAAATAAAGAAATAAAAATATATAGATATGAAAATTATGGAAAGATAAATTAAAAATTTAAGAGAGAGAAATTTTATAGGGAGAGAAGATTAAATAATATATTAAAGAGAAAGATGTGGAAAAAAAAGGGAGAATTTTATAGGGAGAGAAGATTAAATAATATATTAAAAGCAATTTTCTTTTTTTAATCTATTGAGAATTTGTGTAATAGATTACATAAAATTGAATGACTTAATAGACTAAGTATGTTTTTAAAAAATGAAGAAACTGAAATTGTTATCAGATTTTTTTATTTTTATATACGAGTGTATTTCAGAATGATGGTATAATTAATGATTTTCAAAAAAGTGATTTAAATATAATAGATTTTTCAAAATAATTATCCAAATATACCTAAAATTCAATTTATAAATATGATTAATAAAATAATTTTTACGTAAAAATATAATTTTCAAATGTCAAAATCACTCCCAAACAGCGCAACAAAATAAAATATATTGACCGGTCAACTGCTCGCGTTAACTCAAATTTAAATCTAAAAAAAAAAGAAGAAACAATAAAGAAGAAAAGAAAAAGGAAAACGAAAAGCCCTTTAGTCACATAAACTTCCTAGTACGCCATTTCCAATTTTGTATCGTGCTCAGTTACAGAGTGTTGAAGGAGCACAGTCCGTGAGAAGAAGAAGAACAGCAACAAAGATTCAACGGGAAGAAATGTCTGCAAGAGGAAAGCGAAAGGATGACGATGAACACGCATCCGAAGGGGACGCTCCTCCCAAGAAGACATCGAAGAAAGACTCTGACGAAACCGACGAAATCGTCGTCTGCGAGGTCTTTCTCCCCTTCCTCAACTCCCTGTGTTCTTAGCATCCTTACGGTTTTTTCAACATTTTAATTGATTTTTGTATTCTAGATTTCGAAAAATCGGAGGGTTATGGTGAGGAACTGGCAGGGAAAGATTGTGGTGGATATTCGGGAGTTTTATGTCAAAGATGGGAAGCAGATGCCTGGAAAAAAAGGTTCATCTTCATCTCTCGTTGCTACCGTTATCATCACTCTCTCTCTGGTTGAATTGATTTCTTGTGTTTGATTTCTTATTTGCGGCTTTTCTAGGGTTTATGTTTCACTTTTAGTTTTCTATCGTACCCCATTTAAGTTGCATTTGCATTTGAAGCTTACGGTTTTTTCTGAAGGGGCTAGTCTAATGATGATCGAGAAATTTTTTTGGTGGAGTTTGTACTTTGGTTATGAGAAATGATATTTTATTGGTAACGAAATTGTAAACCTTTGTCCGTGATTTTTTCAAAATATAGAAGTTGAAATAGAGGTTAGGGAAATGATGTTTCTAAAACTGCATCTATGGCTTTGTTATGGGTTTTTTGGTTCAAGGAGAAGAGGAAAACTTTCGATGTTGGTATACATTCTTATGAAGTTTGGTCGATAATTGATTTTAGAAATTATATATCTCTGGATTTCCGTTACGACAAAATTTACTGAGCTTCCAACGTGGTCTGCCATTAAAAAAAATGGAGAAAGCAGTGTTGATGATGGAACCTCTAATCCATGATATCCATCTTTTCCTAAAGCCCTTATTTTGTGCAGCACATCTAGAAAAAACTCCAAATCTATCACATTATAAGCTTTTCTGAAGTCAAACTTCACGACCCAACCACTTTTCTTCTTCTCCTTGTATTCATCAATTACCTCATTGGAAATTAGGATGGAGTCCAGAATCTGCCTTCCTAAAGCGAAGGCTGACTGATTCGGAGCTATTGTGAGAGGAAGGTCTCTTTTGAGTCTTGATACAAGGACCTCCGTTATTACTTTATTAATGCCAGTAACTAGTAACTAGGCTTATGGGTCTAAAGTTATCCACCTCTGTAGCTCTCACTTTCCTTGGCATGAGTCAAATATAAGTTACCTTAATGCACGATTTAAGGATTTATTCCTCAAAAAAGTTATCGAAAACCTTAAGAAAATGTTCCTTTGAATTCATCCAACCTCAGTACTTTATTGGCACCTAACCCATCTACAACTGCTTTAATTTCTTTTTCAGAAAAGGTTTTTCTAATTCCATAATTTGATCAGCAAGTCTTGGCCTCCAATCAAGACCTGTACACGTGAATAGGACCTTACAATTCTTTGTATACAAATTCTGAGAGAAGTATAAATTCCTCAGTAATCATCCACTTTAGTGAGGATAACCCCATCTGAATTCTGAATCTCCACTATAAGGCCTTCTCTTCCTTTTGGAGTTTGAAATACTATGAAAAAAGGACGAATTTTCATTGCCCTCATGGAGCCATTTACATTTACATTTGTGTCTTTATCTTCTTTCCTCTTTCAGCATAACATTTGTGAACTGAATTTTTAAAGTCTTCCTCGATGAACCAACCATTTACTCCTTCCAATCAAGAAGCTTTACTGAATTCGTCAGCTCCATTTTCTTGTTAGATAAATGTCCAAAGACTTAGTATTCCACTGCTTGAGCTTGAACTTCAGCTTTTGAATCAGCAAAAAACTTGGCAACCCATCGAATTTGAACTCCAAAGAGGAATCAAACTCTCTGAGGAATGATTTATGCTGCAGCCATATCTTTTCAAATCTGGATGGCATAGGACCCATCTGAAGGAACCTGTTTCAAGCAAAATGGAAAAGTGATTAGAAGTTATTCTAGCTAACCTAGAGCCCGTGGAATATGGCCTGCCATTATTCATTCATGAGTAATCTGTCAATCAAGGTAAATGTCGGTCTTTCCTTGCCACTAGACCAAGTAAAAGCACCACTTAAGAGGGGTAGAGTTTTATGAGAAATCTGTGAATCAAGGTAAATTTTGGTCTTTCCTTGCCATTAGACCAAGTAAAAGCACTTAAGAGGGGAACGTCAATTAACTCATGCTTCTCATATCGATGCTAATGTGACCCCAAAAGAGCTCTCGAAGCTCCACCTCGTAATGTTGAAATTCCCTCCTATACACCAACAACCAATGCAAAGGCTACTCACTATGCTAATTTGTTCCCAAAACCCATTTCTGTCCTGATTTGAATTAGGCCCATAAACACTTATTACCTAGTATGGTAAGAAAATCCATCAGCATGTTGAAAATAAATTGTGAAAGAGAAATAGAGCTAAGATAGAGGCTTCATCCCAGAGAACCAAGATACCCCTGTACCCCTGACGCACCAATTGCATCCTGAATAGTTGAGAGCTCCACGCAGTCTTCACTAGGGTTTTATCAACGAAGCTGCATTTAGTTTCTTGAAGAATAACCACGACTGGACTGCGTTTCCTAACCGTTTCCTTGACAAGACAGCTTTTATAGGTAGCACCTAAACTTTTCACATTCCAAAGAGAAGAACTTCAAAAAACATGACCTAAGCCCTCCGTTTCCTTTTAGCCACTTTGCTTCTTGTAGAGACTAAGGTTGGAGAGAATCCAATGTTGTGTATTCTCATTATTAAAGTCTATATATATATAGACAAATATACAAAGTTGACCTAATCCTATAAGGAGAAGGTAAAGGACAAATTAATATTAATACAAGAATATAAAATATACTAATATATACTCTAACACTCCCCCTCAAGTTGGTGCATATATGTTAATCATGCCCAACTTGTTAGACAAATAATCTATTTGTGCTCCATTTAACTAGTGTTATGTGATTTTTGATATCATTGGGATCACCTCAGAAGTTACGATTGATTTCTTCTCAGCCATAACAAACAAACGAACTTATTTGAACAAAACGACAAAACCAGACCAAACCAAATTTGAAGGAGAAAAGGGAATCGAACCAAATCAATTGAACAGAGCCAAGTGAACCAAACCAATTGAATTGAAACAAACGAACCGAACCAAAATCGGTATAAATCAACCAAACCGAATCGGAATGTGACGAACCAGACCGAACCGAACTTGAATCGGATGAACCAAACCGGTTGAACTGGACCGCTTGAACCGGATCAGGTGTTTTCTGAAACCAGAAACCCTAAGTGCTACCCCACGACAACCAGAGGGGCGAAGGCGATTGGCGGTGATGGAAGCGCACGGCGACTGGCGGCGACGAAGGTGCGAAGGACGGCTAGACGAAACCCACGAATAGCAATTTGAAAACAGCAGCGGCGGCGGCGACGGTCTGCGGTGGTCGGCGGCGGCGGTGGTCGGTCGCGGCAGCGTCGGTAGTAGTGAGTTGAGTTGGATAGCAATGAACAAAACCACAAAACCCTAATGGGCACAAAACCCTAATGGGCAAGAAACCTAGAGCTCTAATACCATGTAGAAACTAAGGTTTCAGAGAACCCGATTATTCTTATTCTCATTACTGAAGTCTATATATATATAGACAAATATACAAGGTTGACCTAAACCTATAAGGAGAAGGTAAAGGACAAATTAATATTAATACAAGAATATAAAATATACTAATATATACTCTAACACTTCTCATAGTTAATTGTCGAGACAAGATTCAAGAGCTCTCTTTTTTCCTACCCTTTCCTTTGGTTGTTGATTAATCATTTGAGGTCTTTTTGGGGACATCCATGATTTCCATATTGAAAGCATCTAGGATGGCAACGAGACCATTCCATCGTGGGTCTTGATCCAAACATTTTTGCATCTCACTCGGATCTCCTCACATCTGAGGCCTCAAAGGATCAAGGCCCAACTCCCAAATGCTCCGACTTTGTTCCCCAATGTTATCCAACTCCAGCTTCTTCACATAGACCTAATGACTAAATTCTTATTCAAAAAACATTAAATACCCATAATTATGAAAATACCCATACCTGGTGAGCGGGTCCTGACATTCTTCCCTCTTAATGAACTTTTGCCTTTGGGAGTTCTTTGCACTGAAAAATAATAGGGCACTTAGCTCGGAAGGAAGCAAGGTGAATTTTACGACTCTTGGCCTCAAATAGCAAAGGAAGAAATAACCAAATTAAGCCAAAAAAAAAAGAAAAAAGAAAAAAGAAATAGTTTCTATCTACTATAGTTATTTGTTGGACATATTTATCTGAGTTGAATTGTAAGTTGCAGATGTGACAGGGATACTTTGCATTTCAGTTGAGAGTTGATCATCATCTCATAATTAATCTCTAGTTGCTAGCAAAAATCTTGCACTAATAAATGAGTAATGCATTCCCAGTTATCTATCATTAATTAAGCTCTCTTATTCACTTGAGGTGTTTCAGGAATAATGAAATGTTTTGAAGCCATTGATCACTTCATTTTATAAATGTTAATTTACTATTGTCTATAATGATTGACATGAGTGGATGCATATAATACTGCAAATGTAGAAATTGAGTATGACTTTTTTGACTTTCCTTTTTGTTTCCAGGCATATCGCTATCCATGGATCAGGTGTGCACGTCTTCTGTTTTCTTAAAGCTTTAAAGTTTCTTTTTACTTTTTTTTTTTTGTTCTTTTAGAAAAGAGAATGGTTTTTTGGTTAAATTTAAAGTTTAGTCCCTGAGGTTTGTATTTAATAGGTTGCTCAACTTTAAAAAGTTTCTAATAGAACTTTAAAATTTTAATTTGGTCTTTTACCTATATGACATTTTTTAAAATTAACGAATCTATTCGAAATATGATTGAATTTTGTGTCTACGAATCCTAAACTTTTAATTTTGTCGAATACGTTCTTGGATTTTAAAAAATGTCGAATAGGTCAAGGATTAATAGACATGAGTTTAGGAACCTATTAGACACACAATTAGAAGCTTAAGGACCTATTAGACATTTTTTAAAACTCGAAGAGCTCTTAGACAAAAAATTGAAAGTTTCGGGATGTATCAAACACTTTTTAAAGTTCGGGGAGTTATTAGATAGAAAAGAAAAACGTTTAAGGAAAACTTGTAATTTAACGATTATTTTTCCGTGTTTCTATAATGGTCTGTCTTTCTGCAGTGGAACGTTCTCCGCAATCATGTAGAAGAAATTGACAAGGCTGTTAATGAAAATTCGTTAGGAAATTAGAGCAGGCATCTTTTGTTGATATTAGTAGCAAGTGTATCACTCCGTAGGGCGCTATTCTGCCTATAATGATGGAAATATGACCTTTTGTACAGCCCAGGCTTGTTTTTGGTGGGCATGAAGACCAGAAAGCAGGTATTAGCCTCTGTATTTACTTAAACTGGATCACTGGATTGTCATTTTGGTTTGTAGACCAGAGACATGATGTTATATAGTATGGCATAACTGATAATATTACTATTCTCAATTGGTGGATAATTGAGTGTCAAATTGACATTGTTATCAGCAGTTTGACTTTAGGTTACAGGCTTACAGCTAGAATTAAAGATCCTTGGTCCAAGGTGTTAACTAAGAAATTTCATAAAATTCCAAGTTCTAACTACCTAATTATTACATATTTAACTTCAATGCCCTCAGTTCTTGAGCCCAGAGAGTGTAGCTTGAATTCTTTGCAACAGCATCTTTAGAAACCTCTTTTCTTTCTATCAATCCTCTGGCATACCTTTCAAAGTTCTCAAGACTTTTCCAAATTAAAGCCAACTTCCTCACATCTCCTTCACATTTAATGCTTTCCAGTAGGTCTCTTGCTTCCTCCAACCTTGCCCAAAAGCATGAATCTTGAGTTAAACCTGCATATTTCATCCTCTGACTCTGAGTATTCCCTTGTTCTCTAATCTCTTTCCCTCTCCACCATTTATCGAAAATCTCGTATCGTCTCTCTCTTCCATGCTTCAGGTAATGACCGTGGACAAGGTGCTTTCCACGGCGATAATATTCTGCAATGTCCAATGGCTCTACCAGGAGTTTGTAGGAATGTGAAGCATTGACCCACTTTGCTCTTATGTTAAAATCTGGAGGAAGCTCATTGTTCTCCCACCTGTCTATTACTCGATTCCAGAATGTTGCGAGCTTGTGCCTGTTCATGTTCACCCTGGCTTGTCTGACCGAGGCATCTACTCGTTTGAAGCAATCGTAGTACCCCAATTGATTATCAGCTTCATCACAAGAGGCTTTGTACCATTCTATCTCAGCTCTGTAAGGTGTAATCTTGGATAAGCTTATAGCCAGTTTTGCCACACTCAAGGTCGGTTTTAGTCCCATTCTCCTCGCTGTCCTCAAGCTATTTTCGGCCATTCGAGCAACTTCCTCCTGCAATTTTTTTAAAGAGGCTCCACTTAGTTCTAGTAAGCTCTCTTGTTGGGAAAAAAAAAAACCAACAAGTTCTTGTTATAAGGAAGGAAAGTTTTTGGTTTATTACTTGAAAAGGTATTCCTGAGGACTGTATTGCTAGAGCAAGCCCTGCTTCATAGCTTGAATCAGGAAGAAGACACTCTGAAGTGAAGCTTTTCCTCTCCATGTGCTGAATTCCAACTTCTTTCACATAATCTCCATAGTTGAGATGATCCTCAATACTGAAATTTGGAGCACTTGTTTTGAGCATCAAATAGAGCATCTTCATAACTGACATGGCATTATCCAAACAAATTGCACCATTTTCCGAGCAAAAGAAGAAGTTCCCAAGTGGCCAAAACTGACTTCGCTCCGACCCCTCTCCCGAGTTAGATATCATGTCGAAGTGAGCCAATACGGCTTGAAAGAGCTCATCCTTTTCCCTTTGTGACAACTGGGTAGCAAGCTTCCCGAACTGTGGAGAGACCATCGACAAATGCCAGTATCTAAGAAGAACGTGGAGCTGGGGGGAGAGCGGAGTAGAGAAAAGCCGTGGCATAATGTCGTGGTTCGAGACGACATGGCAGAAGTTGCCACACCATCGCTCTCTAAGAATGGCTCTCGAAAGCGACTCGTTGCCTATCAACGGGGAGCCGAAGGTGATGCATAGCAATGGCTGGTGAGTGGTTTTGGAATGGAAGAAAGAGAGCAGCCAAAGGGTGCACAGAGTGGCTGCTGCTCCTCCAAGGGAATGACCTGTAATTACAATTGACTTGCTTTTCTGCATTATTCTTGTCATCTGCAATATATCAGATTATTTTTCTATGAGAAATAATACTTTTGAAAATAAATATTATACACACATATTGCTCATTTTCCTAGCCTAAGGCAAAGTCCATAGGAGGATTAATGAACATCACAGCAATTTCTTCCCCATAGACCATAAAAAAAAAGTTTTGAAATTATGTCTCTCCCAAGCCATGAACTATGACATGTTTATGGTTTCTTCACTCTATTTTCTTTCTATTGAAATCCCTAATGAGGCTTTTGGGCATTAGTTTGGTATCTTCGGCCGAAGAGTTTAGGAAGTTTGAGTTTAGAAAATTCGTCTTTGACATGTAAGTTTAGGATTTAAAAAAAGTGTAATGGGTGGGTTTGGGGTACTATTGAAACGTATGGGTTTGTCCGATATAACTCTAGGGTTAACAAACTCACAAGACAATGGAATCGACATCTTAAGTTGAACTCACTTAAGTCTAGACCTTCACGCTAAA